TAGAAATATTGTCGCCAAATTTAATTTATTTAAAGAGAGGGAACTTGTAAGGAAATCAGGTGTAGCACTAAAAGGTACCAATTTGTTATAACTACTGCCAACATTGAAAGAAGCTAGGCAGAAAGGTAATAACGGATGGCTGTCATATGATAGTTTGTACATTGATGGAAAGGCTCAGAAATAGGAACGCGGAGAGGGTGAATTGAGTATTTGTGCATAGAATGTAAACGGTTTAACGGAAATAAAAAGGAGTAACCAGGATTTTATTGATTCGATTATTAAACATAATATTATATTTCTATGTGAAACTTGGTGCAACAAAAACAGCAACATCGATATATCAGGCTTTATTTCGCATAACTATTACAGAAAATTCAAGCACAGAAGAGCCAAGCGTAGCAGAGGAGGTGTTGCGCTATAATATAGAGATTATTTACAAGGTGGTATTAATATTGTTAAAAACCATTATGATACTATAATATGGATTAAGCTAGATAAAACATTTTTCAAGTTTCAAGAAGATGTTTACATATGTTGTGTGTACATATGGTGATGATTCGCCAGCGTATGATGTGCATAATGTTGACCTATTTAATATTATACAAAATGACATATATTGCTTTGAAAGTAAAGGCAGAATTTATTTAATAGGAGATTGTTATTCGAGAATTGGCTGTAGAAATGACTTTATTTTACATGAGGGTGTGAACAGTGACATTGATTTTGATGAATATGTTCCCGACGAACCCCTTGGTAGAGCCTCATCAGATAAACATTGTAATACGTTCGGTTATAGACTGTTAGAGTTATGTAAATTCACGGGTTTTCGTGTAGTAAATGGTAGAATATGTGATCTTTACGGTAAATGCACGTCTATTTCTAGCCAGGGGTCATCAACCATAGACTATTTATTAACAAAAGAATGTAATTTTTCGCTGATAAGTAATTTCAGTGTGCACGATTTGAATGCATGGAGTGATCACTGCCCTATTTCTTTCAATATTAATTGTAGTGAAACGTACATGTATAAGTGTAAAAATGGGGAACAAAATGACAATTTTGTTAAATATGTATGGTCCCCCGAACTTAGATGTAGTTTCAGATCGAATCTTATTGGAAAATAACCAGTATTAAACGAATTATGTCATAATATAGATTAAACTGATCGTTCTGCGATAAAATCTCTTTTATTAGGTTTTAACAATGTTATACAAGAAATTGCGAATCCGTTACTTTATAAGATTTATAGTATACATAATCAGCCTACATTTATTGATAAATGTATTGTTAAGGATAAGGATTGGTTTGATAATGATTGTTTACAAGCTAAAAATTTGTATATTAACGCATTAAATACATTTAAAGAAGATAATAGTGTTGTAAATAGGGAGCAGTTGGGTTTTTATAAAGCTAAATATAAGAATTTGGTTAAGAAAAAGAGACGTTTGTTTAAATTGAAAAAAAGTTGAAAAAATTGAGCCCTTACGATTTTCTAAGCCGAAAGACTTTTGGGAATTATTTAAATGTAATAATAAGGCAAATCATGACATTTCATTAGATGCATTTTTTAAGTATTTTCCAGAATTAGGTAAGGATATATTCCAAGCAAGTAACATGGAGTACGGAGATTTTTCACGCAACAATGATTTTGAAAATTTAAATGGATCGGATGATATTTTAGATAAACGTATTACTGTAAATGAAATTTTGGAAGCAATCAAAACTTTAAAAACAAATTAATCACCCGGTATTGATTGCCTGTTAAATGAATATTTTATTGAATGTATTGATATTTTATCCTCGCATAATTGTGATAATTTTAATTATGTACGTGATAGCGGGTATTTCCCAGATACATGGTCTGAAGGTGTGATAATTCCGTTGTATAAAAAAGGTGACAAAAATGATGTTAATAATTATATGGGAATTACGTTAGTTAGTTGTCTATCGAAATTATTCACATCTATTTTAAATAAAAGATTAGTACAATATTGTGAAGAAAACCATGTTAGTCAGATGCACAATTTGGATTTAGAAAAAGAAAATCAACCATTGATGCTTTATTCATTCTTATGACAGTTGTTCAAAATTATATAAATAATAATAAACGTTTGTACTGTGTTTTTGTAGACTTTAAGAAGGCTTTCGATTGTATATATAAAAACGCGCTTTGGTTAAAATTAAGTAATTGTGGGATTAGAGGTAAATTGTTACGCCTAGTAAAAGACATGTATAGTAAAGTAAAATCGTGTGTAAGGTTATGTAATAGTTATTCAGAATTCTTTAATTATGCTGTAGGTCTACGTCAAGGGGAGGTAATTTCACCGATTTTCCCTCTTTTTAGATGACTTTTAATTATTTTTACAAAGGGATATAAATAGTGGTTTGACTATAAACGATATTGTTTTGATTTTGTTACTGTTCGCTGATGATATGGTCATTTTAGGAAATACACCAGATGATATAAATAAAAGTTTGACGTTATTGAATGATTATTGTAAAAAATGGAACTTAGAAGTAAATATTTATAAAAACCTAAGTTGTTGTTTTCAGAAGACGTGGAGGTTTAATTATGAATTATTTTATTACGTAGGGAAGCATTTAGATATTGTCGATAGTGGTAAGAAACAATTGGTTATCAAATCTTAAATTGTAATTATGTAATCATGGTTTTAGTGATATTTGGGATTTTCAAGATTCCGTAAATAGTAAAATATTTTTACCAATATTTAAGCAAAGGGTAATTGATTGTTTTTTTACAAAGTTGGCTTTCTGGTAAAGAGAGCAGTCCTGTTTTGTATCTGTATAATCATGTTAAAGATTCTTTTGTATATGAAAATTATCTTGATATAATACCAAGTAATTTAAGGAAGTATCTTACAAGAATTAGAATATCTTCGCAATCATTACATGTGAAAACTGGTAGGTTTCATAGAAATAGAATTGTTAGAAATGAAAGATATTGTTCATATTGTAATCTACATGACGTCGAAGATGAATACCATTTCATTTTAATTTGTCCTTGTTATATTGATATAACAAAATATATATATAAAGATACCAGTATATAAGACCTAGTAAGCTTAAATTCACTGATATGTTAAAGTCAATCAATAGAAGTATACTTTTAAATTTATCCTTGTATGTACGAGATGCGATGTCTCATAGAAATAATTTATATAGTACATACAACTTAATATATTAATAATTCATCCTCTATATTGATATGAAAGAGACATGTTTAGATCCGATCTTGTGATTTATGTTAGTATGTATTGTAAAATTGTTTATTTATGTATGACGATGTATAATTGTACAAGTTTTAAAAAAGTATCTGTTCTGTTCTGTTCTGTTAGCCGCAAGTTCTCATTTTGGTGTTTTAAAACAAATTCACACCCGTATCATATGTTTGATAAGCCGTTTAAAATTTAACGCGAGGCGAATAATTGGATCGTCCAAGGGAGACAGACTTATACAAATTCATAAACAAACCTAAGTGAAGCTTCACTACAATGAATATGTTTATAAGCAATATGCTCTGAGACATCGCTAGTAACATTGCCATGATTCAAACGGGTATTTGTTGTTGTTTCTTGTTGTTGTTGTTGTTCTTTTGTTGTTATTTTTTTTCCGATATAATACCTATATATCTATAAACAAGAAAGGCTGTTAGAGATTTGTTCACCTTTTCCCTCCCATCATGCTGTCTATTCGATTTGTTGAAGCTAGTATGCCAGAAGACAATCAATTTAATATGTAGATTTTATACACTTTGATACTATGTTTTTTCAACCCTTCAAATTGATATTATATTATCGATCATTCGGTTACCTAACAGTTAAATTGATTGTCTCATACATTTATGTACAATTTAAACATACATTAACTATACGAACAAATTTTAGATCTGGCGAATCTTTCTTCATATAGAACTGCAATACGGTTCAAAAATGGTGAACATGTTTTCCTGTTGTTTTAAGTTTGTCTTTTGGTAGCATATCTGTGATATGCAGACTTCATAAAATCTGATCCTTTTCAAAACTTTAAATTTTATTTAGTTCCGCATTTTTTCTCGTTTAGGGCAAATGCTTTAGTTTATGTAGGGACCATATGCCGCTTTTCGGGGAATGGAACTTACACTTCATAACCTTTGATCCCCTTTCTAAATTCCATTCTATTTAGTTCCGATCATTGTTTTCTAGTTTATGGCACACGAATTCTTTTACTAAGGAACATACGCCGCTTTTCATGGAATGACACGAAAGTGTCACATTGAAAGTTCCATGATAATAACTTCAATATTCCCCATTACAATGAATAAATGCTGAATTCTGCTTGAGACGCTGCTAGCGGGCATGGACGGTAACGTGCACCTTACTTTCCATGAACACGCTCAATTAAACCGACATGGTGCATTTTCAATTGTGTCGTTTTTTAGTTCTTTAGGGATACTGTATTTCTTTCTGTATTTTATGTGTAACATTCAAAGTCCCATGATAACCACAGTACATGTATGAACACAGCTGCACATGTTTCCAAAGTTTTACAATTCCAAATTATAATGTTGAAGTCTGCTTTCAATTGTTTCTAGTTGTAAAAATCAATGATATATTTCAATTGGAAACATGCCCCTGGTGTCAGTTAAATTTATGTTCTTACTGTTTTTTCTATTTTCTATTTAAAACAGATAGTCAGGAATTTAATAATTCCCCTTACACCAGGAAGTTTTTATCGACGAGGAATGACGCGATTAAGTAGACATATTACATTGCACGACTAATCAAATTGATTTAATTTTAATTTTTCTGTCCTATTATTTCATGTATTGCCGTGGTTATTATACGTATATGAATGATAAACACATTCTTCAATGCACATGTTCATCATTACATGCACAAGTAAGCATGTGGTGGTTTGACATTTGAATCGGTTTAATATTTTATCGCTCTACACATAATTAGTTATGTTAACTGTCCGAATGATATTTTAATCATTAAAATTGTCGCAATTAAAGGAAAAGTTAAAATTGTAATACATGATTTGTCAAATACGTTTCGTAATAAAATTGTCTGACCATGTGTTTTATTGATTTACGACCTTTCAATAAAATTTTGAAATGACTTGGTATAAAAGACTTTCAATTTCTTTACAATAGCGCAATCTCCTTACAGCGGAAGAAGGTAAGTGACGTTCTTGATGAAAGTTTATTGGCGAATCAAAATTTATCAGAAACTTATGATATTGCGCAAAATAAATTAAAGTTACGGATAATTAACATTAATTTAATCTACAAAACTTTATGTATAATATTTTACTCACTCACTTTCTATTTGTTTTATCACTTTATTGTTATTTTATTATTATTATTATTATTATTATTATTATTATTATTATCATTATTATTATATCTCTGAAGCTTTAATTTATGCTTTGGAATATGGCAGTTAATTCAATTTTACTCAGTCCGTGGCCAAGTAATTTAGGTCTTTGACTTTGAACCACTTACCCCTCACCGCGATAGGTTCGAATTCTTCCATGGATTTTAGAATTCTATGAGCTAGCTTATGTTTTTAGCTTTGGCATATGACACCTTAAGAGATGTACCTTTACCGGTAGGAAAGGATTCGTTGCTAAATTGTACTTTGTATAAAGCAAAACTTCTTCACCAACCTGAACGTGTGTATAAATATTATAGTAAAGATTGTGGGTACCCTATAAAAGTAATCATTATGATAAAATTAGATCAACTAATTATTTTATATCAAACAGAAAAGCTCTTTACGAGAGAAACAGATATTTTTATTCTTATTACATTTTTTCGTCTATCACTACAGTATATCAAACACAATTTTTTAATAATAAGTGCATTTTTTTTGTATTTTTTAAGATGATAACTTGTGAATATACATGTACATGTATATACAATACTGGTATATCTAAACGAAAAGCTGTCAAAACTACAATTCTATAAGACTCTTCTCAAGTAAAATATTCATTTCTTGAATTTATGTTTTCAATTTGATATACATTTTGTAGCACAAGTGTATTGAAACATATTTTGTATTGTGTATTGAATCTTACAATATCTTTCATAAAACCTGAACATTTTTACAAAACCTTTACTTTGTACATTTATCAAAAGAGTAAATAATTTTGAAAAACACAAATAATTTTTACTGTAACGTGACAGGATTAAATTTAATACACAATTCTTTGACTTTTAGATAATCAAAATATCAGAAAGATGAAGTCAGTCATTCTCCTTGCACTTTTTGGTGCCGTTATGGCAATCGGTAAAGGTAAGTATGAAGCACGTTTAATGATATTAAAGCAAACAATTTAATGAAAAACTTGTGGTCGGTATCTAAGACTGTTTTCTTTTAAGACATAATTACTTGTTTATGAGTCTAAATATTATGTTAAAGAAGAGTATGCAAGCTTTAGTACTTCTACATTGAAAAATCGATTGTTTCTGCTCTGATGGGTTAACATCTGTAGACATATGATCTTTTCTCCAACATACTACAGTATGAGCAGTCTGTTTAAGTACATGCCCGTGTGTGTTTCGATGGATAGTAATAACTGAACGTATATCAAACTCCCTAAAATTTGTAACATGTACTTATTTCTTTGTATTTTGTAGGTGGTAGTGGTGGTTACGGAAGTGGGTACGGTGGTGGATACGGCGGAGGATATGGAGGTGGTTACGGCGGTGGAATGGGAGGAGGAATGGGTGGTGGGTCTGGAGGAGGAGTTGTAATCGTCTCTGGAAGCGGAGGGGGAATGGGTGGTGGAGTCGGTGGCGGAATTGGAGGCGGTGTAGGTGGAGGTATCGGTGGTGGAGTTGGCGGCGGAGTAGGTGGTGGTATCGGCGGTGGTGTTGGCGGCGGTGTAGGAGGAGGTATTGGAGGTGGAATGGGCGGAGGCTCCGGAAGTGAATTTTATATTTTATCTGGCGGCGGGAGCGGAGGTAGTATGGGTGGCGGCATCGGCGGTGGTATGGGAGGAGGTTTTGGAAGTGGATTCGGAGGCGGTTATGGAGGCGGCATGGGAGGTGGGAAGTACGGAGGTGGGATGAGCGGAGGATATGGCGGTGGTTACGGTGGTGGATACGGTGGCGGTATGGGTGGTGGTAGCAGCGGAGGCGTTGTAATTGTATCTGATGGTGGAGTCGGTGGTGGTGTTGGGGGCGGTGTTGGAGGCGGTATTGGAGGTGGTATTGGAGGCGGTATCGGCGGTGGAGTCGGTGGTGGTATTGGTGGTGGAGTCGGTGGTGGAGTAGGAGGAGGGTTCGGAGGTGGATATGGTGGTTAGTTTATTTGATATTTACCGATATTCTTCTATAGATCCCTGCAAATTGTCCATGCCTGTATATAAGTAACTTCCTTTCTCAAATGCATAAGCAGGGTGTGATCAAATTTCTAATATGAACGTAAATTACTTCTGAATCAATTATTCAAGACTGACTTTATTTAAAATCTAAGACCTATGTATTTAAACAGCACTTGTGTTATTGATATCTCAGGTGGTTACGGGGGTGGAATGGGCGGCGGAAGTGGAGGTGATTTAATCAAGATCATAACCAGTGGTGGTAGCGGAAGTGGATACGGAGGAGGCATGGGTCAGTGTATTTATTGAATTTATAACATTGCTGTACCAGCTAATCGTTTAGATTTTATTGGTAGTACATTAGTTAATTGAACATTAAAATACATAAAAATGTATTATAATCTGACAAGATATTACTTTTTATGACAATTATAGTCAATCAGAATGATGAAACTTTCAAGAATTCCATAAAACTGTAGGTATGTTTTCTAAACGTATTTTTTTCTAATTCATAGGAGGTGGTTTTGGAAGCGGATTCGGAGGCGGCATTGGAGGCGGTGTCGGGGGCGGTATTGGAGGTGGAATCGGAGGAGGCATTGGGGGCGGAGTTGGGGGCGGTATGGGAGGAGGAGTATCTCTAACCAAATGTAAGTTTAGAAACGGATAATCACAATAAATATTTTGTAATTGATTAAATGAAGACTACAATATGGTAATAATGTAAAAATAAACATCATGAACATGAAGTTTAAAATATACGATATACAAATTGATAATTTATTGTCATTTCATTTAAATTGCTTACATTCACTAAAATACTTAATAATCGCATGTTTCATTTCTTTCTTCAGCATACAAGAAGTAAAGGAGTAAAGAAAGTCTGCACGATATTTCGACTATGGTTGGTTGGCACAGTGTGATGTAATGCTATGCTGGCAAAATCGTTATACCGATGAGATTTTAAACACAATGACTTGTTATCAAACCATGCTTTCTTATATGTTGTATTGTTATTTTATTTTCTTCTGCTGTTTGTGTGTTGACTCTTTATCGACTCGACGTATATAAAGCCTATGAAATACATCATTTAGTTGTTTTGTTTTGTTAATAGTCTGCTCTTCAAAGAGAATTAGACAGTGAAACTAAAGTTACGCTTTTTCAATGAATATTCCTATATAAAAATGTTAGCCTGATAAATGTCTTAGCACGACAATTATTGTACATGATTGGCTGATGTCCTGAATTCTATTTTCTGCATCGCGAAAAAAAAAAGCGTTTCTCAAGATTTCTCTTCCCACCAATTCAACATTTAAATGTATATATTGCATTACAATAATTGGTCTATTGGTCTTTACTTACTCTGCATTTTTATAATTTATCTTTTATCAATAATAACAAATTTTAAAAAAACTTTGATGTATATTTCCGGGGTTTTTGTTGTTGTTTTTTTTTTGCAAATATCGATTCATTGTATTAGATGGCGAAGATTAAATATAAGAAGACTTCGATTAAAATAGAGAAAATACGAATCCCTAAAGAAAGCCCAACACGGCAAAATTGAAAATGTTCCAGGCTCGGTTTGATTGAGCCTGTTCATTGAGCCTGTTCATAAAAGCCCATTACGCCAAAAAATGCTTCTGCAAAATATTTTAGTTTTTGGTGCCCGGATAAAGTTTCAAGAACGTTATTCATTTGCCAATTTCCGGAACCATCTATGGTTTCTATATCATTTTGGCAATTAGCACAGGTGTAGGTTGCATTTATTATGTTGTATGGAGAGCAACGCAGGATATTATTTTGTTTACATTTTACTACTTTTATGACAAGACAGAATCTCATAAAGTGCTATTTTCATTAGGTGATATGCTTTTAACATGACTAATAAACATTAATTAAAAGTTATAATAGTCATTTTCGCTCTTTCTGAAGAAAACAAATTGTTTCTGCTATAAGAGGTACATGTATATCAATATAAAAGGTTATAACCTTTGCTCGTTGTCCTATATTATCTAAGAAGTAAGAGTCATCACTATATATATGAACATTACTAATATTTTGTTCTAGAACATCCATTATCTGCTACATCAAGAAATATATGATCAGATCAGGTATGTTACACTTACCAACAGCATTCGTATATAGTTAACTCTTGGTTTGTGTTCATGTATACAAACGTAATACTAAATAATATTAACATAATCATTTATAGAAATGCAGACCTTCCATTATACACCAATTCATTTTAAACTTGGGATGTAACTTATATCGGCGGTACCATAACCAACATAAATATGACTTTCATAAATGATGATCTCGTTAGTCAAATATGCAAGTGTCTCTAAGTAAAATCTGTGATTTTATTTTCAGTCATAAGTTTCAATATCAACATTTGATTTAGTTATCAATCCTAACACTATATTGCTTGAAAATCTTTTATACATATAGATCAGACTAGAATAAAATATGTTTTAACAATCAACTAAAAAAGTTGTGAAAAAAAAATTACATAGACTATTTAATGCTATTACTTTTAATTTGTACACTCCGCGTGATAATGATTACAAAAAAATATTTAAAACGCAATGAGGAATACCTCTACACAAGTCTTAAAGTATCGTAATCAAATAAGCATTTTAACATGTAAAAAACCGCATAACATTTTTAAAATGTATTAATATATCATTAATAAAAAAGACCTGGAAAATGGTTCATGAATTTTTTAAATAGACATTCATACACATCACAATTGCAAGCAGAATTTAGGATCCAGTGAAACAAAAAAGTGAGATGTTGTTTCAAATTAATTCTTTCCACCGTGTAAAAACACTATCACGTCAGTCCTGTTTTCATTTCCATATGCAAAAAAGCAAAATTTAAGATATCAATCTAAAAGGTCACAGTTTAAGGTTGACAATTAAAAATGGTCATTTTGTTTCGGCTCTACTCTTTTTGAATTGTTGATATAAAAGTTAGTTGCGTCAACTTGTCTTTGGACATGCACGCCAGCTGAATGGTGATACAAAACTTTCATAGTCACGTGTATTCTTATATAGTACATGCTTTTAACTCGCTTGCCTAATACATATTCTAAACATAATTGCAACAAGACGTAAATTCATCAGATATATATTTCATAATAGTAATATTTTACACCGCACTGGAAGAAAACTGCCAAATGTTACTTTCGATCATACAGCGATTGACCGAAAAAAATAATCTGTAAGCTACTGCAAGTCAGTCCTAAATTTTACAAAATGGTAAACAGTGAAGAATTGATATTCCATAAAAAAAAACGTTTTGCCTTTTTTCCATATAAATGTGATCAATATATTATATAGAAGGGAGTTAATTACTTTATCCAATTTCACGAGATTAATTAAAATTACATCTTACACATAAGCAAACAAATTTTCTTTTTATTTTATGCTTAAAAACAAGTTAAAACGAATTTTCCATAATATTAACGTTAATATTAAAATCTGTTTTCCCCATTGAGAGCCTCATTTGGTCGGAATTTCTCATTAAATACAAGAAGTCTTTGGCTGAAATATAAGTTTGACAATCAACGTTAAATGACGGTGATATTATTCATTTTATTAAAAAAAATATGAATGATCGTTTGTTTTAGTAATAAAAACAAACAATTCTAGTAGGAGAAAAAGTCAAACCATCCATCCATATTTCTGATACTTACTGCGAATTTATATTAGACCTGGCTTTGTTAAATGTAAGCGGCCGCCATTTTTAAGTTGTGTATTTCACGGGAGGAAAATAGTTGTGTTTGATTCAGAGTGATATCATTTGGATTTGTTAGTCATACCCCTTTTTAAAGGAAAAAAAAAAACTTATTTGAGGATTGTAACAGACAAGTATTGACAGATGTGAAAACATTAAAAAAGAAGCTAGGAAAATGGAAAACGTGGAATTGTTCAAAGGCTGCCTTACGAATGTTGGGTTGTTTACTTATTATTCGGGCTGATGGCTGTCATTGCTTTTCAAGTTTTCATAAAGCATACGGCAGTTCTTGCTCGAAGGATACTTAAATATGCCCAACAGCCATCAAGAGCAGTTTTGCATGTGGAAGGAATGTATTTTTCAGACTGTAAAACTGAAACAAAAACATTTAGAGACGATATTTGGTGATTGGAATTTGAATGAATAAAAGTAAGTTTTCTTCTTTTGACACTTAAGTAATTTATCGATTTCACCTTTGCTTTTCTTTAAACAGCCTTACATTATCAGAATTTTCAGCAACATAAAATTGAGGTACCACATGGGGAAAATCTTAAAAAGTAGTTTCGTCATTGAAAAGTGTGCAATTATATTTTAATAATTTTCACTACTAAAAAACCCAATTAAACAAACTTATTGTTAACCCCATAACGTAAGAGCCAATCAGGAGTAAAGTGGCTGTCCTTGATCGGTTGGATGACAGCAGACAAAATAATTGTGACGCGCCAGTATTACGCTATCCGCCATATGATCAGGGCATGCCAAAATATGGATTTTAAATCTATTTCAATGTTATCGCATAGTACGACGATTTGTCTTTGATGTTCCTCAGCTGTTATACGCCGGTAACATGCTTTATTGGTAATAAGCACAGTGCGATATCTCAGATAAAGCATACATCTTTAGAAAAAGGTGTGCGTTATTTCAAATAAAGCACGCTTATCTCTGTACACTTGGTTCATGTATAAGCGTGACCGTAGACAAATACACAAGGGTCACTGGACGTACTAAAATTTAGGCTGGAAAAAACAACGAATATATTCAGATCGCGGAAAGATAATGGGGTACTGGGGATATGGTGGTCAGTTTAGAAATTTTTGTCTGGGCCTTGAACGTTTTGTTTATAAACCGTTAACGCTCTATTACTAATTGTAATGTGGTGCAAGGAGGCACTGCCTGTATAAACATTTTCATGGGTAGACATACTCGCATTATTCGAGTCCCCGAAAAAAAAATTATCGTTTTCTTTAAAATTGATTTAAAATCCATTTTTTTGGCATGCCATTAAAATAATGCTGACAAAACGGCTGTTAGCGTAACAATTATCTACAGTGGTCATCCAACCAATCAGGAGCATTCATTTTACTTCTGATTGGCTCTGGCTCTTGCGTGATGGAGTTTACAACAAGAAAAACAAAATTCGGTCATTTACATGTACCATAAAAAGTAACCGAGGTTCCGTTTGGAGAATTAAATCTATCAAGGGAATCAAAATATATACATGTATTTAAATTTTATGTCTAATCAAATAAATAATTTATGTTTATCATGCGATAAAACAGTTATAATAGTAAATCTAACTCAACAGTTATGTGGAAATATCATGGCCTGGTGGGCATCTCGGGTTTTCCCTTACGGCTACGATCATTTTCTGTAGAGAAAGCCCATTAATGTCACCCCAGGCCATGATATTTCGACATAACAGTCTCGTCGCTATACTATAATTATAACAAAACGATTATTGTTATTTTTTCGGGGACTTGACATTGAAAATATTGTGAGTATATCTACTCATGAGAATATGTATAAAGGCAGTATCTTCGTGCACCAAATTGCATTCAAGCAAAATGATAAAAAGGTTTATAAACAAGTACGTTCAAGCCCCAGACAAAACCTCTTTTTCTAAACTGACAGCCATATCCTCAGTACCCGATTTTCTTTTCCCAATCTGAATATATTCGTTGTTTTTTTTTCAGCCTAAATTTAAGAACCGTCCAGTGACCCTTGTGTATTTGTCTACGGTCACGCTTATACATGCTTTATTTGAAATAACGAACACTTTTTTTTCCAGAAAAGTGTATTTTATCTGAGATATCGCACTGTGCTTGTTACCAAAAAAGCATGCTACTAGCGTATAACAGCTGAGGAACATCAAAAACAAATCGCCGCTTTTTTTAAAATAACGCACACTTTTTTTCTAAAGAAGTACGCTTTATCTGCAATATCGCACTGTGCATTATTACCAATAAAGCACGTTACTGGCGTATAACAGCTAAGGAACATCAAAGACAAATTGCGCAACATGCGATAGATTTTAGATATAACTTCATTTTGTGAATTGCGTGATGACACCAAGTATAATTACATTTTTTTTAGAAAAGAAGTATATCAATATAACCTGGACATTAAAATAAAATATCAAGTTTGATTGCATTCAAAATGTTTGAAATTTAATTTTAATTGTTTACCTGACCGGCACCTTTTACATCATTGAACTTTTTTTAACTTCCTGTTTTTAATGTCTGTTAAGAATATAATTAAGGTAATAAGTAAGGGAAAAATACGCATTTTTATACCAACAAGGTTTGCATGTGAAACAATTATAAAAAACGCTACAAATGTAATACATTTCCAGTTCAATCAAGAACAAACCATTTAAATGTTCAATTGAATTTAAAAGGTAAGAAATGCACAATAGAAATGGCAGAAAAATATTTTTTTTTAATATTCAAATAGTTTTAAAGCTTCATATCTCCAGAAGAGCCAAAATATTTCAAGGAAAACGAACATGCGAATATGTACTAAGATCTTAAGAAACACCATATTTTTACTACGGCACTAACGCTCTCAGGGCTATTTTTGTATAATTTGACCTCTTTTTTTGGTAATACTCGTATATTTTTGTATATTTGTATATTTTAAGAGCCGTTTGCAATTTGTTATTCCTTTCTTTGTTTACTTCACAATATCTTACTTTAAATACATTTTCAAAAATAATGCTCTAATAACAAGACGCAAATATTGCATTAATTTTCTTTATATGCTACGATTTTTTATTGTCGGCATTAAGTATAACCTTATAATTCAGAAACATAATTAAATCAAAAAATGATCTAATTGATCCTGAATGACATTAATACAAGGGCGTTATGAAAAATTTGAATCGTCATATTTGTTAACGAACTCATGCTGAATGTTAAAGTATACTTTTGCGTATACGAAATATAATTACAAATTTAATAATATAAAAAATTGATTCTTAAATACAAAATTGTTTTCATTTATGCAAGTTAACTAGGATATCAAAATAAACATAGATCATTTTAAATATTTGAAAGTTTGAGTAATACAGTGTAAAAAAAAAAGAATAAATAGATGTCACTCTTTTTCTTTCGATTGAAAAATAAGTTCCTTACTGCAGAATAAATAAGAAATATTGTTAAATCCTAAGACATTACTGAAGGTGAAAAAAATCAATGTGTGCGTAAGAATAGAACGAATTGTGTATTTTTGTTTTACAAAACCTGAAACAAGTTTCAAAACAAACAATAAAAAGTAAATTATTTTTTACACTTATATCATTTCAGGAATTTACAAAACTTGGTTTTGAAAACTTTAAAATGCTTAATAAAGCATAGCGTAAATCGCTTTGTGGATATTTCTTGTCAATGGAAATCATAAACCACCTACATAATGCGCAATCATATGAAACATGAACTAATAAAGTATTTATTTTATTTTTTTCTCTTTTATTAAGGTTATAAAGGAAATTGTATACATAAGTTCGTCAAAGCTTTCATACACTATAATGAGTGCAGTTCATGTTGAACACTTCTTAACATGTATAGCCTATGACAATTTCCTTCAAATTCAGTTTTGAAATTACTTTTATTGGCCAATACATGCTATTTGTGCAATCAATGGTAATAAATTGCTACATGCCAGGATGTTTGATTTATCAATGACATTTCGTAATATTTGCTTCGAATTCAATATTAAAAGGGTTGATTTGCAAGATGCTGGCTGCATTGTGAACGTTCTGCGGGTTTCCATACACAAACAGGTATTCTTTTGATATATTTCTCTTTTTCCCCTTTGCAAAATATCCTTATTTGCATAGAGGCTTAATAGAAACGCTGTGCATTCTTTTGAAATCGTACATTATTTGAAAGTATGATGTTTTATTTCGGTAAAATGTCTAAATTCCTTTGAAACAATAAAAATTGTAATATCTGATTCTTGTGTCAAAACATCTTTATTCTTTTGTTTTTATAATATTATTAATAGAGCATTTAGAAAAAAAAAATGATCAGAAATTATTTCCTTTTTTATTTTACATGCACCTAAATATACAATTGACATAGTATCTGCCATTGTTAACTAAGTCGTGCATCTTGTATACTTTTGTTTTGGTATATGTACTAATCTTGTGCTTTTTATTTTTTTATTTTTAAGGATAAAGAAAAAATACAAATGTTATTTATATTTAATTTGTTTATCTTTAACTTGTAAACTACTGTTAATTCTGTGTTGTTTTTTCAGACGGTACTTTAAACGATGAGGTCAATCATTTTTCTTTTAATTCTTGTCGGAACTACTTTTGCAGTTGGCAAAGGTACGATTCTTATAACTTGCAGCATTACTAATTATCATTGATCCCCAACAGCAGAAATAATTAAAATATATTGTTATAATGCTATACGTAACAAATGTATTGTGCAGATGTATTAGATATATTGTTATTTGATGTTTAACAAAGATTGAAAAGTTTTGACAGTTACATTAATAACATGATCATTTAAGTAAGTATTCATTCATTTATAAAATTTGATAATACTAGGCTTGTATTTTGTTATGTATAGGTGGTTATAGGTACGGAAGCGGATATGGGAGTGGATACGGAGACCGGATAGGAGGTTCAGGGGGAGATGTCGTCATCTTGACAAGCGGCGGAGGTGGTAGTTCGGAAGGTGGATTTGCTCGCGGCATAGGAGGCAGTGTCAGTGCCGGAAATATTGTCGGTGGATACGGAAGTGGTATAGGAGGCGGTGTTGTAAGAGGTGTGAACGGCGGTACTGGGGGAAGCATTGTTCTCGTCACAGGAGAAGGGAGCTTGTCTGGGGGTAATATGGGAGGTAGCTATGGAGTGGGATATGGAGGCGACTACGGTAGAATAAGTGGTGCCACGGACGGTGGAGCATTGGGCGGTGGATATGGAGGCGGATATGGAGGTGGATACGGCGTAACGGGAGGAGGGGCTGGTAGAAATACTGGAGTTGTCATCAGACTTGTAGGATCATCAGGTGACTTAAATATAATATTATCAGTCAATAAAAGAATTCACTGTAATGCAAGTTAGGCATGACTTTTTTATTTAATGCACACTTTGAATTAAAAGAAAAAAATACATGTCCAATTATTGATTGTTTAGGTATATCTTAATGAAATAAAAGGAAAAGTTAATTCACAAGACAAAGAATATTTTTCAAATGTTAAGGTGGTGTATATGATGGCGGTTATGGTGGCATGAGCGGAGATGGCGCTTATGGTGGAGGATATGGTAACGAATATGGCGGTAATTACGGAGGTGTGGAAGGTCTATCAGGAGGTAGCGTTCATATTTATTTAGCCCTTGTGAATGTGATTATCCGGAAAATTGTATTTCTTTATTAACAATATACATAAGGTTACTATATGGTTATATTTAATATAAAAATATCATTAGAAATTGTTAATTAAACAAAAAACTCGTTTACAAACCAGGTGGCTATGGTATGGGAGACAGCACTGGGGGCGGTATTATTATTCTAGGAAGTGGAGCTGGAGGCGGAGTTGGTATGCGTATTTCATGTAATATGTTTTGTTGCATTAACGTTTATTTTTCTATCAAGGACTATATCAACGATACTACATTTATTTTTATAACGTTTTCTATGAAATAAAATGAATTTGTTAAATGAAAGAGCTTTATATTAAATAAGAAATCAATAAAACAAAACAAAAACTACTGCAGCAATAAACTAGCTAAGCTACAAGTTTGCAGTACTTATAAGTATAATGACCGCGATTTAAGACCGATTTATTACAAAATCCAAGCCCACTGTCCTTTGACAGTCACAACAGAAATGAATTTACCCACAATTGTTCTTATGCTACAAATTGTTTACAAAGTATCACAACTAATACCAGGTGGAGGGCTAACCAGCGGTGGATATGGAGGTGGTTATGGAGGCGGTTATGGCGGTGCTTATGGTGGATCAGGAAGCTCTGATGGCCTAACCGATAGTTCCGTAGTCCGAGTTGTAACTAGAGGAGGTTCTGGTAGTGGTGGTTTTGGTGGTAGGATTGGAGGCGGCGTAAGAGGTGGTTTTGGTGGAGGAGTACGCAGTGGCGTTTCCCTTACCAAAAGTATGTAACTACGCTTTGTATACTTATGTGAGATATTGTACATTCTTTATTCATTATTTTTTTATTAAATTAAATTTTTTTTTTCAAATAACTAACATGAAATTGAGACTTGCTTCGAGATAAAAAAAAATCGATTCTGCATGAAATGAAATATTTTTCAGTGATTTAGATAAGTATTATGGAAAAAAAACTTTTAAAGTACGTTTAGTAGTTTCCCTTTTTCAATAGATCCATAATTGTTGATTTCATTTTCTTTTTTTATATTCCAGAATACTAAATGCAATGACAGTTGCTAAATTCTTTATGGTATTAAACGCGCTTAACCTTACCAGATTACCTACGAGATTAACAGTTAAATATTCTCATGCTTTGATTGCATATAATATTCCTACCAGAACAAAAAGCCGAACCTTTTTCATATGCACACGTTGTGGACAGTGACATCTTGGCAAATTAATTGCTGTCTTTTGAAATGACTGTTTTATGCTTAAATACAATATAACAATCATTGCTACGTTTACTCATATATAAACCTTAATCCCAGAATTATATTGAAATCTAAATTTAACGGAATTATTTAGCGATCTCGTATCTAAATGAAATATTTCATGAAATCCAATATGGAAAGTGATAATGTAGAATCAGAGATAATACATGTATCAGAAGGAAAAAAGAGAAACTGGTCTTACTAGATAAATCTTGTAATCAGACATGTACGAAAGTACTATCACATATACTCTGTTTGGGCCATCTAACTTATGACTGATGTTTAAGTATTATCATCAACTATCATACCAAAATAACATAAAATAGTTATGATGTGCATCCAATTAAAGCTGATGAATATCACATAAAATAAACTTAAAATTATAAAATATTTTTATTAGAAAATTTTTTTGTTTTCGAGCATAAATTTATACAAATACATAAAATCAAACAAATAGCATACAAAAAAGCAAACTAGACAAAGTTACGAATAAGCATATGAAAAATACCATAAACACATACTATAAAACTACCAGATAAATCATATACATAAGCAAAGTTTTCCTTCCTTTAATTAATTATTATTAATTACTAGCTTATCCTTACATGGAAGGGACTCACTTGATTTGTCAATAAATATACATACATACAAATAATATGATAATTATTTCACAGAAACATTTATCGGAATATCAGATCCTTTCACGAAAGAAACTTTACTGGTATCTTTATACACTTTGCTCATCGGTACCATTTGCAACGTTCACTTTTGTTTTCATTACGTGGTTTAACAGTCGACGTGTAAGTTGCCCGAGCTGATACATATTTTCACGTTTCATCTCTTGTGACACACAAACTGAAGGCTCATGTCTGATTTGAACATCACCACTTAACTGAAATTAATTAATTAAGGGTTCCTGTGCTTTTCAATTTACTTATAAAAAGAGCAAATGTCACATGTAAGAAATGTTTGCTGATTGATAAAAATCTCATTTAAAATAGCAAAATAATATTTTGTTCCGAATGATTTCATTCTATTAACGGACAATATCCATGTGCACTTAATAAATGTTACAAAGTTACGACTCTTGAAGAATCGCCTTTAAGATTATGGAAAAAATGATCATTATTTTACTGTTTATAAATTTAACAAATTCATTTCATAAGATATAGCATTTGGCACCAACACTTATCTGGTTACCAATAATTTGCCACTTACCTTATTATTGACTACGTTGACGTAAATATATCTGTCTTCTATGTTCACTTTTAAAGAATTTTTATGTAATAAGCCTAAACAGTGCGACAAATTCTGAACAATCTTAAGAATGTGTTTGGTAGAGACTTTAATGTCTTTGTTGTAAACATCACTTAGGCTTATATACATCTGATTCTGATTGTCTCCCTCGGTGATAAAGTATCTAAACACTCTATGGCATGGTCCAGATTTTCTAACTGGAAAAAAGAATAATAAAAAACATTGTTCATTTGTTCTTATAAAACCCCTACATCATGAGCATTGTTACCCGTTGTTTGCCTTATTTCATAAACTTGCATCAACGACGAAAATATATATATTATATACGCGTGTAACGGAAATATTCACAATCGTTAATCGTTTGTTAATCGTAGCTGGGAATTCATCGTCTTAGAAAAAAGCACGTTGGTATAAACAGTATTTTATTTCAATCAAACATATATTCGCAATATAATTACAATCAAATGCAAAAAGGACTGAGTAGAAATCTAGAAGCTTTTTTAGAAACTCTCATCTGGAAAAGCACATTGAGTTTACCGTGCTATGCACAGTGTTTCATTTTCTTGAATAAGATTAAATTGGTTTGACATAATTAATTACCTCGCTGTGGTGAGTTTAATGTGGTACTTTTAAGGGTGTCCCGTCGTTCTTTTGCTTTCTAGTTTTTTAAATAAACAAGAATATTAAGTGATGTAAAAAGTTAATTATTCCCCTAATCAAAGTCATCAACTTTTTTGTTTTTACAACAAAGAAAGGAAAACCAAGATACATCAGTTTGATTTTTTTAAAAGTTGTTTTAAATTTAATCAAGTTCATAATTAAACTACGGTAGGTTTTAATAATTTTTAAATATAGTATAATTATTACCGATAGATACTAACGATTTTGTAGAATAATCGATTTTCGAAATAAATTTGAATATATTACTAACAGTAGACATTGAACAATATCTGCCCTTAATACATGATAATCTGTATTGCATTACACAGTCACAAATATACAATTTTATGAAAATGTAAAGGTAAATGAATACTCACTTTCTTAGCCAAACATGCAGTTAAAGTATACAAAACAGGGTTAAGTGCAGAATTCACGGGGAGTATGAATACTGCCGTCCAGGCATAAACCTCACCTGGAATCACGTGACCAGACATTGCCATCATACCTTAGAAAATATAACATTACATTTTAACTAACCAGTCAGATATACAGTGAAATCATGTCATCATTTTAATCGCAAAATTTGGTTGCATTACCTATATATCAGATATGAAAATCCATTATTTTATCTTTTATGGTTGAAAATTCAATATTACTTTTTCTGTTGATGAATAGTATGTTTAATTTCAATGTCTATATGGAATACTGACCCATACATCCAATGGGAAACCAGCAAAGAAAATCGGTAGAAACAACAAGGAATAGGTTCCTAGCCACAGCTAATTCTCTACGTCGTCCAGTTCCTGCCTTCCCTTTCCTTGTTGAAGAGCGTCTTATACCTGAAGTAGCTTTCTTTATTTCCATATATATAACCACCTGTCCAATAGCTATCAAACAGAATGTGACAAAATTTAGTCCAACAAATATGACGATTGAGTAAAGCCATCCTGGAGGTCTATCCCTGGTCAACGGTAATGCAATACAAACACCAGATTTTGAATAGAATCTACCTTCAAAATGATCTTTGTATATTATTGGTATAATCCCTATGGTCACGGAAATAAACCACGCCAGACCGGATGCTATTCCTGCAGTTTTTGTATTAAATCTTATTTGACCAAATGGATATTTTATCACCAAGAGCCTGTCTAAGGTAATGAGACAAAGGAAAAATACACTAGCCTCTGATGACACGGTAGATAAGAATCCTGCTAGAGTACACCAGGTACTATTCCTCCAATATTCATCCATGAAAATATATCTGAAAAGATAGACCAGACAATGAAATTATTTTGGTTGTTTATATGTGACTAAGAGATAAATAATTTTATTCAATACGCATGTATTGCATTAAAGTAATATTTTTTTTCCAAAATAATATGACAAATATTTCATCATGTCATCACACGTTTCTCGTTCGAATTCATTTATTAATCCTGAAAGAATGCATTTCTAAATTTGTACGAATGTAACATCAATGTTTTACGCCAGAATTATTCAAACTGAAAACTTCTTATTGTAACAATTTACCCTTTACTTTAGATCTAATATAATATGAAAATGATTGAATAATAGAATACGTTTAAATATTAATCTCTTCTACTGCTTTACTTTCAAAAGCATGTTAACATTCTTTTACAAGTAAACAACGCGCTTTGGTTTAAAACGTACAATAAAGTAGTATAAGTAAGTAAATGAACCTTTTCCGATAAGCTGCGTCAGCTATTGCTATGATAATGAGGTAAACTCCCATTATAAAATCCGCTATTGCCAGGTTTGTCACAAATATTCCGAATCCTAATTTCAATCTTTCTCTATCGTAGATGAGACGATAAATAACAGACAATATATTTCCAAACAGGGCAACTAATCCTATCAGCCATAGCATTGTCTGAAGAGCAGATACACGCAGCAGATCTGCGCAGGAGGAAAATTCATCTCGTTCAGGAAAACAATCTTCATCTGCCAAATAAGTTGGTCGAATGCAGCAAAATTTATAGGCAGGTGTGTGTAACGATAACAGCCCAGATACTCCGCGAAATAAACCTTTGTCGAAAACTGATATTTGATTTGCTTCCATGTCAAGAAGTTTTGCGTTCATTCCCAGAAACACGTCGTCCTCCATCTCTGCTATGTTGTTACCAGATAACAAAAGTGTATCGAGATTTAGTCCTGCAAATGTGCGAGATGACATCTTTTGAATATTTACACCTGTTATTTCGAACTCCTTTAAACTAGAAAGCCCGATCATAGAATTCGGCTCAAATGAATGTATGTCTGTGTTACCAAGCATGTTTAAGTATATCAGTTTCCGAAGACCAACAAATGCCGCAGAAGGTATTTTGACTAGTTTATTAAATCCTAAATCAAGTACATGCAAATTTACCATTGACTGGAACACTTTTCCAGTCATATACTCTATTCCACAATTTGAAATATTTAATGATATCAAGAAAGGCAGGTTCGTAATTGGTGACATTAGTAATTCTTCAAGATTTTTATTGCCGCTCAAATCTACGGAACGCGTATTCTTATGCAGTAAGGTTAATATGTCCTTATCAACAGCATCTACAGTACAATCGGTTGTATACTCAGAGCATGTGCAGTTGTGTGGGCATGAATAATTACATAAACGTTCATCATCACCATGAACACACTGTGCCTCTCCGTCACATACTTGTTCATTTGGAATACACGTTTTACTTGCAGCACATTTGTATTCATTTGGACATGTAACTGTTGACGCTTCTAAAAGATAAAAGAAAATCATAATAATAGATGAAATCGCAATAACAAGTCTTTGTCGTCGTAAAACATGATAAACCCTTTTTCGGGGTATATTCATATCTGCAGATACAAAAATACAATTATGTCTAATTTATATTTCTTATTGCATGTTTGGACATTAAATTTAGACTACATTAAATTACCGAGTAATGTCCATAACAGACAGGCATTTCATGATCCTAATCTTAACATACAATTCAAAATGGTAACCTTACCTTTGCACAATCCTGGAAAATATCTTGAGCCCAGTCTAACAAGTGTTTTAAAAGATTTCAAAACTATATCCCTCATGAATGGAAATTCATTAATCTCGCCCGTTTTGTTAAGAAACTCTTCCCTAACTCTGAATATAAGAAAGTCTGGTT